GTGTAGTCCATCTGGTGAGGTCCATGTGTATATTGCTGCTTGTGTTGTTGAAAAAAGAAATTTGCAATGAATAAGCCTTTGATCTTGCAGAATTATATCATGCAATCTCCTGCATCAAGGGCATATTTTACAACTACTGAATCCTCCTTTATTTCCAACTTTTGCATTCCAGTCACCAATAATTGTCAGTGCTTCTTGATTGCATGTTTGATCAATTTCAGACAGAAGTTGGTAGAATCTTCAGTGGCATTATATTGACTTTAGTGTTTGGTTGGTAAATTTGAATAATAGTGATATTAACTGCACTTCCTTGTAGGTGTCTAGATATTATCCCATCACAGACAGTGTTGTACTTCAAGGTAGTTCTTGAAATGCTCTTCTTGATGAGGAATGCGCATGACACCATTCCTCTTCAATTTCTTGTTTCTGGCAGAGTAAACCATATGATTGTCAGAGTCAAAATGGTCAATACTCTCTCCATTTCAGCTCCCTAATGCCTAGACTATTGATGTTTATGCATTCCATTTCATTTATGACAACTTCCAATTTTCCTAGATTCATACTGTGTACATTCCATGTTGTGATTATTAGTGAATGTTTGCAACTGTTTCTTCTCATTTTGAGTCATATCCCGTCAGCAGATGAAGGTCCCAGTAGCTTTGCTCTATCCACGTCATTATCGTTAGCTCTACTTTGAGGAGGCAGCTCTTCCCTGGTCGTATTTTGAGTGCCTTCCAAGCTGGGGGGCTCATCTTCTGGCACGGTATCTGACAGTGTTCCACTGCTAGTCACAAGATTTTCAGTGGATGACCAGACAGCAGTGGTCCTCCTCTTCTTTGTTGTCATCTGTTTTAGTCTAGAACCTGTCCACCATGGGTGACACTGTCGGTAGTTAAAATACTAGTGGCTTGGCTTGGCTTCTAGCATGACAGCAACATAAAAGTCATCACAGTACAACAGACTGATGGACAAGTGGTGGAATTATAGTTATAGTAATAATCAAAACAGTAAAAAGAAGCAAGAAAAGGAAAGAACAGAAGAAGGAGGGAGGAAGAAAATAAAGAACCTTGAGGCAATGTTGTTATGTTTTTGTTAAGTGTCCTCGGGTAGTCTTGAACTCGTAGTGGAGGTGAGCTTGAACTGCTGAGGGACCTTGCAGTCCAGCACATTATCCCTCAGCACCACACCAGGGCTCCTGAACTTTATAGACACACAGCCTCAGGCCTTCTGACCTGGAGCGAAGGGCCCTTCAGCACTTACCTCCTTTTTCCGGATAGATTTCCACTTGTCTCTGGAAGACTCCCAGCCCCCGTCCCTTCTGTACCCAGATTAATTTTAGGACCATTTTCCTGCTCCTCAGTGTTCTTACTCTCCACTTAAAACTGTCAGTGGTTTCCACTCCCCACAGAACATACCAGTGGCCACCAACACTGTATTCAAGGCGTCCGCACTTCTGATTCTACCTCCACTCCTGCCTCATCCTCCAGTCAGACTGGACTCCGCTCTGCATAGACCTCAGGTTGTCTTTTATTCTTTCTTCTGTTTTCTCTGTGGGGATCACATCTCAGTCTAGAGCCATCACTATTCTGCTCACCTCTGGGCAGCTGTGATGGTGTGCTCCACGGTCCTCACATAGTGTCAGAAGAGGCTCCTGTCCACGCAGCGGTCTTCTCTGTTGGGCTCTGAGCACCTGAGAAGAGGGGTGGAGTTGTGCTTACTTTCTCCACCCAGTAAACTTTTCATTGGGGAATGAGTGAGGGACCATGTGGGTGGCAGCCCAGGCTTGGAGGCAGAGCTGAGATCTGGGTTCAGCTCTGTAGTAGTGATTAGTTGTGGCCCTCAGGCCAGTTGCTGAATCAGGGTGGCCTTCTCTGTGAAGGTGTGGTAAATGAGATTGTGTATATGAAAGGGGGGGGACTAGTTGTGCGTAGCATTAATTTTAATAGGGTCTAGAGTTTCCCTGTCCTGTGTTTAGAGGAACCTTGTAGGACCCAGGTGGCCACCTTGCTTGATCCTTGTCACCTGTTGCCACAGGTTCCATGTAGTTGTCTGCAGAGAGTAGCTCCCCTTTTAGATCAGAGGCCCCTGAAGAACAGAACAGTAGCGGCACCTAGCACTGGCCAGGTCTTTGTTGCTGTGGTCCAGTGGTTTCAACCCAGGGAGATTTGGTCTCCTAGGGGGCATTTAGCAATGTCTAGAGACAGTTTATATTGTTACAACTTGGGCATGACTACCGGCACCAAGTGGGCAGGGATGCTGTTAAACATGTTTCAGTACCCAGGACAAGCCCCACTACCACAACGAATTATCCTGCCCCAATTGTCATTAGTGTGAAGGTGGAGAGACCTGGCCTAGGCCAACAAGCGTGCCTGGTACTCATGCCATAATGGAATGCGTGTCCTGCATGGACGGAAGTCATAACTCACTTCCTTAGTGTGGAAAGAAATGGAGCTTTGATTTGGAGACATATTTAACCATGGCCAGGTGCTGGGCTCAGCCCTCCTCACCAGCATCACCAAGGTGGACGACATAATTTTACAGCTGTGGAGACTGAACTTTCGAGAGATGAAGTAATGTGTCCAAGGCCATAAAGCTAGCTAGGGGGATTTTGAACCCAGATCTTTTGATTTTCAGTCTGTGCTCTGACTGCTCCACTGTGGGTTATGTTCCAGGAATGACCTAAAGACTTCATAAGTGGGAGTTTGAATTTAAGACTACGAGGCTGCTGGTGATGGTGATGGTGTGTGGTGGACTCAGTCCTGACTCAGAGTGACCCTGTGTAGGCTTTCTGAGGCTGTAAATCTTTACGGGAGCAGAAAGCCTCGTCTTTCTCCCGACTCATAATCACTACACTACCAGAGCTCCTGATGAGACTGGGCTTCCGTTATGGTTTGGCAATACCGCTTCATTGGGATTATGGGCAATACCAAAGGGAAAATCCCATCTTCCAGAAGCAGGAACTAGCTTAATTATTGATGTAACTGCTATACATGGCCTCTCAAACCAATCTCACCTGGTGGTGTGCCTTTGGGTCGGTTCTGATTTATAGCAACCCTGTCTAGGTATGGAAACGGAAGGTTTCTCCTGGGTATGGCTGGTGGGTCCCAACTGCTTACCATATGGTTAGTAGCTCAGCATGTAACCACTACCACACCAGGGCTTTTGTTCTTACCTACTGGACCAAGTGGACTTTGGGCGTGGTGCTGTCAGATCAGCACTGGACTGCTAACCACATGGTTGGAGGTTCAAACCCACCTGCTCTTCCTCAGAAACCCTATGTAGGGTTGCTCTGAGTCTGCACTACAACAACAACCACAGCTGTACCTAACAATAATGAGCAGCTAGCACTCTCCACGTGTTTATTATGGGTCCTTTTCTTGCTGAGTACTTTACAGCCATTAAGTGATTTAATTTGCACATGGAAATAGTTATTATTATTCATGTCATCCCATTTTACAGATGAAGAGACAGAGTTTCAGTTGGCCAAGGCTTTAAACTCTAGAGCATCGTGACTCTCAGCCCTGTTGCATGAACTATTATTGCATAACTGTATATACTGAAACTTTTAAAAGAAGTCAGTGGTTGCTTTTTACTTTTTTCATTTTTAGCTTTTTTCTTGTTACTTCAAATAAATTCAGAATTTTGAATTGGAGTTGATAAACTTTGGCAGTAATTAGTGTTACCTTACCTGAACTTTAAAAGTAAGGAATTTTTAGACTAGGCTTTGCTATTGTTGTTAAGTGCCATCTGCCATCTAGTCAGTTCCGACCCATAGAGACCCCATATAGGATTTCTGAGGAGTGGCCGGGGAGCTTGAACCGCCGACTTTGCAGTTCAAACTGACCTTGCAGTCCAGCGCGTTAACCCACAGCGCCACACCAGGACTCCTAGACTAGGCTAAAATGTATTAAATCCCTTTTGCTTGTTATCATGTAGTAATCTAGCCTTTTTCAACAAAGGAAAAGGAATACGTTTAAAGACCAATAACTTTGGAATCAGGAGATTTTGCAGAAAGAAGGGAACTGTTAATTCCTAGGAGTATGGGCCATACCAAAGAGAAAATTCTGGAGTTAGGAAATGCTATGTAGTTCTGGAAGAGATACAGAAGTCTTGCTCCTGGTTCCCCGGTTCTGCAGCACATGCCTCCCCAGCATCTTCCCTTCTCCTTTGCCTGGAGATTTCACCTCCATCTGTTGACCTCTCTGACCCCGGTAATTTGGTTTTCATAATGGAATTCAGGGAGAAAAGTAGGCCATTTTTGCTAAAACATTTTTGTCATGACTAAGGAATGCCTATACAGGGTTGCTATGAGACTGAACTGACTCGAGGGCACCTAACAA